TAGATTTTACTAATTTTGTGGAGAAAATAATAAGCGAAAACTAAAAGAAGAGGGGAAAAAATCTCCTTATTTCGTGATTATATGTTTTCATATCAACAGTATTCATACTCTTTTTGAAATGGTTTTGTGACTCTAAATAGAGCCGTTTTTGACATATTAGCAATGGTCTATGTTCTGTAATATTCTGTCTTGGTGTAATCACTTTAACTTCTCCTTCAGCAGTGGTAACATTTGATTCTTCCTCTTACACTGCAGTATAGACCGATTTGTCATATCCTCCCACTGATTTTTCATTAGACGATTAACTGATTTGTCTTCCTCTCTGCATGGTCTACTAAGTGGATTGTCTCTCCACAGTTCCGTTACATCTGGTACCATACTGACGTCAACTTCGACTTACGACTTGTTTTTCCCCTTTCGGAATGGTTATGTCAGTGTAACTCAGACTTCGAATAAAACAGACTTTAGCAGTTTTAATAGTTTATGCTATTATGTACATCTACTTGGATTGACGGCATTGCACAACACTGTAACTCGCCTATTTAACGCAGGCCAGTTTTGAAGAAAGTCCCGTACTAAAATTCTAAGTTTCTTTGCAAATACACTTCACTATAATGCTGTCATATTTAAAACACCACTGACAATCTAATACAGTAAAAACATCGAATTTCATACCGTTCAGTTATGTGTTGTTGGGTTGCTGTTTTATTGCTGCATACCTTACATTTTCTTGTATTTATATTAATGTTTTATGTGTCAAAAAGTTGTTATCTTTTTACTAAACATTGAAAATATTATCGTATCTTATAGCTGATGTTTATCATTAAAAAAAACTCTATATCACGGCCACCCGTTTTCCTAAAACAATAATTGAAAAATACAAAACAATGCGAAAAAAGTTTAACTAAAACACCAAAAAAATCGTTGTCCATACATAATACGTAACAAAACAAGCTACTTCTTTTAAAGGTAAGCATACGATGTAAATGGTTTGAAAACCTTATATAGTACACAATTTGCCAAATTTCCTCAGAGAAGGTATTGGAAAAAATCTGGATCGTTATATACGTATTATATACGTTTGTGGGGTTTTGGGCATTTGTCGTCTTTTTTGGTGTTGTGATCTGCATATAATAAAATTAAATAGTCCAAAAAAATTAAAACAGCGACTCAATGATAAATTGAGTCTTTATCATAGTTTTTTCCTGAATGCAAACGCAAATTTTGCAAATTTCCGTATTACTATACCTTTTTTCATGAAACAATTTTTACATATAACTTTGCATGGCAAAATCTGAAATCTAACCGCAGTCTAGTAATTATAGCCTAGCCTGTTGGGAACTTAGCCCTCGTTGGGACTGAGTGAAACCCGAACGTTCGTTGATGCGTCGGGGTGAATTCTTAGATGCAACTATTCCCTTTTCTCTCCTAGTAATGTTGTAATAAAAAAGGGGGATGGTTGAGATCAAAAAAACATTAACCCCGTTACATTATTCTTTACGTGTATGTGTGTCCCACGTTAAGAAAGTTGCCGTTTATTGGTTGTACGTCATAGCGTAATGTACCCCCCTCCCCCTTTATTTAGAGAATTGAGTGTTAATAGCATATCTTTCATTGCTTCTGTTGAATTTATATATATCTTTCATGGAATCGAGACAATTGAGAACGAGACATATTGTATGGTTACCGGTCTATTTGTCGAAGACTATATGTCTGCATCAAGATGTTTATTTTTGTTATCGGTCGTTGGGCTGCTGTTCCATTGACGTATAACCCACATCTGATTCTCTCTCTATTTCACACCTGATTATCCGTGTACACTGCTGGCAGAAAAATAATAATATACAAATCTGATAGCACTTATAAGACAAATTGTGAGGACATTCTTTCTTTAGTTGAAGACTAAACGTCTCCCTCTAGATGTCTTCCGGTTAGTTCTGTAGTTGGGTTGCTGTCTCATTGACGTATACCTCACTTCTCCTTTTATTCAAGCAGCACTTGAGTTTGCGTGTGCACTGATGACTGAATTGTTTTTTGTTTCAAAGATAGCGGATTAATTTGTTTGTTTTCTGCTTTATGTCACAGTGGCAAATGTTTCAAATAAAGTGGCAGTCATTTCATAGCAAAATTATACCTTATCCGGGCGACTTGACTGTGCTGAAAAATTCAATATATCATTAGTTTCATTTTAGAGCGCACTGGTTCCCGAAAGTTGGGTAGTATAAAAAACAGGTACTTCTGATCTGAGCAACAGGGCAAATATGCCCTATCATAATTTCATATATTTATTTTATTATTCATGACAAACTTTCATCAAGGGTTCTACAGTGATCCCAATACGCGGAGCTTTCATTTGATACCAACATTACCCATTTGTTTTTACTTTTTGACAAAGTTACAGCTGTGCGTAGGAACTATTTTATTTAAAATATGTACTACTTTCTTGTGTGTTCTTTGTGACCGGGCCCGATTTAGTGATTCTGTGCCTTCTAGGTGTCAAGCGATGAATAAAAGAATTACACACAAACTATCAATGTTGGCAAATTAGCGCAAACTTACTTGCACGCTCTTCGTAGATTTTACTAATTTTGTGGAGAAAATAATAAGCGAAAACTAAAAGAAGAGGGGAAAAAATCTCCTTATTTCGTGATTATATGTTTTCATATCAACAGTATTCATACTCTTTTTGAAATGGTTTTGTGACTCTAAATAGAGCCGTTTTTGACATATTAGCAATGGTCTATGTTCTGTAATATTCTGTCTTGGTGTAATCACTTTAACTTCTCCTTCAGCAGTGGTAA